CAGAGTTCTTCCTTGTTCTTGCCGCCCCTACCTAGTTCGATCTCCATTTGTGGGAGTGATCAATAATTGTTCTTGATATTGCTTCTTGGTAGAAGAAGCAATTTGAAGTCGTGCTCACCAGCCCTCTATTCCATTCTTGCTAAAGAATTCAGTTCTTGCAGAAGAGTTGTCTTGTTGATCCTGCTTCACCTCACATTTTGTCATCTTCAGTGGAAGCAGGTTTTGGTTTTCTCCTTGGGCGTGAACACCTTCATTGGGAGTTACTGCTACTTCATATCAGGTATATCCCTCTCCTCCCTTTTGGTTTCAGATCTGGTCCGGTTTGGTTCAAGATTGATCCTTGAAAATGCAGTTTTCTAAAATAGGGAATGCGATTCCCAGGATGGGAGAGAGAAATTTTTGAAATTTCGCCCAACCTTCCTACAGGGTTCGGCCATCCATATGATGGATCTCTCATCCCTTGCAGAAATTTGATCCAAAGTCTATTAAGTGTGTCTTCTTGGGATATTCTTCAATCCAAAAAGTGTACCCTTATTATGACCCTCGCTCTAGAAAAAATGATGTCCAAAAATGTTACATTCTTTGAGTCTACTTCCTTCTTTTCTTCTTCTCGTCCCTGTCTTCAGAGGGAGAATGCTAGTGAAGATCAAACTCCTTTTTGTATGCCGATTCCTGCTTCAGTTGTAACTGCCATTGTCGATCCTTCTCCTTCTCCTCTTCCTCCTTGTGGTGGTAGTAATACTCCTCTTGTGCCTCCTATTCCTCAGTCTTGGCACCAGTGGTTCGTTAGACGAAAAAAGAGGATGACTCCAGAGATTGAATGTCCATTACAATCTGACTTCCCGAACTCAAGTAATTTGGATTCTAAACCACTTCTTGTTTCTGATACTTGCGGTGAACCTGTTACTGAGCCTGCTAGTGTGGTTTCTGACTGTAACCTTCCTATTGCGGTTTGTAAAGCTAAAAAGACATGTGCTAAATATCCTATCTCAAATTATGTCTCTTATAATACCTTATCTCCCTCTTATTGTGCCTATAACTCTTCCATTGCTTCTGTTTTTATCCCTCACAGTGTTATTGAGGCAGTGCAGTTCCCTCATTGGAAGGATGCTATGAACCAAGAAATGGAGGCGCTTGAGAAAAATCAAACATGGGAAATTGTTTCTTTTCCAGTGGGCAAAGTTACTATTGGATGTAAGTGGGTTTACACAGTGAAGCATAAAGCTGATGGCTCAATTGAAAGGTATAAGGCTCGACTTGAGGCAAAAGGGTACACTCAATCTTACGGCATTGATTATTAGGAAACCTTTGCTCCAGTAGCCAAGATGAACTCAATTCAAGTTATCATGTCTCTTGTTGCCCATTAATCTTGGCCCTTGTATCAAATGGATGTTAAGAATGCCTTCCTTAATGGCGACCTTCAGGAAGAAGTTTACATAGAACTTCCTATTAGAGAGAACATCCCTAGAAGTGCAAGAAAGGTTTGTCGTTTGAAGAAATCCCTTTATGGCCTTAATAGTCCCCTAGAGCTTGGTTTGACAGATTTAGAAAAGCTATCTTAAAAATTGGCTTTTCTCAATCTCAAGCTGACCATACCTTGTTTATCAGGAGAGCGAATGGAAAAGTGACTATGTTGATAGTATATGTTGATGACATTGTTATCACAGGGGATGATATCTCTGGAATTGCTGAACTAAAGTCTTTTATTGCTATTGAATTTGAAATTAAAGATCTTGGAAATCTTCGGTATTTCCTAAGGATTGAGGTTGCAAGGTCAAAGAGGGGCACTTATATTTCTCAGAGGAAATATATCCTTGATCTGCTTCAGGAAGTAGGGAAATTGGATTGTAAATCAATTGAAGCTCCAATTGATCCCAATCATAAGTTGGGAGTTGATGATGGAGATGTCCTTCCTGACCAACTTGTGTATCAAAGACTTGTCGGTCGCCTTCTCTACTTGTGTTTGACTAGACTAGATATATCATATGCTGTAAGTGTGGTTAGCCAATATATGCACAAGCCTAGATCATCTCATATGCAAGTAGTGAATAGAATACTAGCCTATTTAAAAGGATGTCCAGGAAAAGGGATGTTGTGTTCTAATCATGGGCATCTCAAGGTAGAGGCTTATTCTGATGCTAACTGGGCAGGTTCTATTGATGATAGGCAGTCTACTTCTGGTTATTGTACCTTGGTGGGTGGTAATGTTGTATCTTGGAGAAGTAAGAAACAATTAGTTGTGGCTCGATCTAGTGAAGAGGTAGAGTACAAAGCTATGGCTCATGGATTTTCCGAATTGTTATGGCTAAAGAACTTGTTGACAGAAATGGGAGTAAAGATTGATACTCCAATGATATTAAATTGTGACAATCAAGCAGCCATAAACATAGCCCACAATCTTGTTCAACATGACCATACAAAGCATATAGAGGTTGATCGACATTTCATTAGAGAAAGAGTTGCTAGTGAAGAGATTTGTTTACCTTTTGTGAGGTCTGAGGATCAATTGGTCGATTGTCTTACTAAAGGTGTCTCCAAATCAAAGCTTAACAACAATTTGAACAAGTTGGGCATGACAAATATCTATACTCAGCTTGAGGGGGAGTGTTGAGAGTGTAAGGGCATTTATGTCCTTTCATCCTTTATTGTATTTGCGCACCTATTCAAGGGCCCATTTGTAATTTTCTTCAAAAAGTTAAGAAGGCCTCTTTAGGGTGTGAATAGTAACACACCTGTATTCTTCGACAAAACTCTTCTTCTACCTCTTCTTCTTCCTCTTCTTCTTCTCCTTCTCCTTGACTACTTCAACTAAGCCTCTTCCACCTCCCATTACTACTAAGGTAATAGGTCAGCCTTCCTCTACCCCTTTACAAAGGCATAAAGAAGTGTACAACCCATTGCATCTCCAAACACCTATCCTACAACCTTCTTTCCCTAACCTATTATTCCTTTCTTGCCTTTGTTTCTACACATGATGTCACTAGGTCTGCCCCATAAGCTTTATACCTGAATGGAGGGATGCTATGATGACTGAACTAGACGCTTTGCATAAGAACCATACCTAGGATATTGTGAACTTGCTTGAGGGGAAGGAACCGGTTGGATGTAAATGGGTATTCACTATCAAGTATCATTCTAACGGTACTATTGAAAGGTTCAAGGCTCAGTTGGTTGCTAAAGGTTATATTCAGATGTACAGTGTTGATGATTACCTAGGGACATTTGCCCCTGTGGCAAAAATGACTTTAGTTCGAGTTTTGCTATCTCTTACTACTACTTTTGATTGACCTCTTCACCAATTCGATGCTAAAAATGCCTTTTTGAATGAAGATTTACATGAGGAAGTTTATATGCCTTTACCTCTATGTATGGAAAGGAAATGCAAAGAAAGGTGCGTAAATTGAAAAAGTCCCTTTTATGGCCTAAAACAATCTCCTAGAGCATGGTTTCAGAGATTCCGAGCTACTCTTGTTGCTTTCGGTTATACATAGACTCAGTTCTATCATGCTTTATTTGTTAAGAGGAGAGACTGCTTGGTGACCTATCTGATTGTTTATGTTGATGGCATTGAGGTTACTAGTAATGATACTTAGGAAGTGATTAATCTCAAAAGATTTCTTAATACTAAATTTGAGATCAAAGACTTGGGTGACCTCAAATATTTCCTGGGAATTGAGGTTGCTCGATCTAAGGATGGTATTTTCATCTCTCAACACAAGTATGTCCTTGATTTACTTGCAACAATTGGTAAATTTGGTGCTAAACTCTCAACTACTGATGGTAAACTGTTGACTGATAGGGGAGTGTTTCAGAGACTGCTTGGGAAACTGCTATATCTCTCATGACTCGACCAGATATTTCTTATGCAGTGAATGTCATTAGTCAATTCATGCATTCCCCCATATATACGCATTTATTAGCTATAGAGAGGGTTGTGTTACCTAAAAGGTACTCCGAGGAAAGGTATCTTGTTTGCTGAGCATGGCCACATGAAGTTGGAAGTATACACCAATGCTGACTGGGCTGGATCTATTGATGATAGGATATCTACTTCAGGATACTGTCCTATGGTGGTAGGGAACATTGTTTCATGGAGTAAGAAGCAGTCTACTTGCCATTTGTTGCTTCTGAAGAATAATTAGTTGATGTTTTGACAAAAGGTGTTCCAAAAGGGAAGCCGATACATTATATAAGCAAGCCGAGCATGATTGGTATCTATGCTCAGCTTGGAGGGGAGTGTAAAAAGACTGGAACGAATGGGCCGTAGTGATTTACTTTTATTTAGTAATGTTCTCTTATATTGTTTTTATTTCTTTTAAGTGATGATCTGGTTACTCACTTAAGGGCAGATCTGTAATTAGTCTTAATTAAACAAGTTTAATAAAAGATTAGAGAGCTAGGAGAGAAGGATTGAACTTTCTCCTCCTCCCTTTCTTCTCCATCTTCTTCTTCTTCTCTCTACTGTTTTCTTCTCTTTTCTCTTTTTTTTTCTTGCTGAAAGTTGAGAATTATTTACAGATTTATTGATCTGAATCACATCTCTTTTATCTATGCATTTCTTTCCTTTGAACCAGGGAGAACAAAAAACTTGTCATTATTTCTTAAAATCAAGCATAAGTGGTCATTTCATCATTCTTTTTTATTTATTTCGTGGCTTAAACAGTTGATGATTTAGATGAAGCCCCATAATAGTTGTATATGATAATATACATATACTATAAAGTATGTATATCATGCTACATAGTAAAAAAAAATTACACCCTTGTTTTAGGAAGTGCAATTGAATATATATGTAAGAAGAAAAGTTATCATTAACGGGCCAATTGCAACTTCAAAGCAGTGGGACTTAATGTCAGAACAAGAACAAAGAATTTAGTACACTTAAATTCCATACAAAGTGAATTAACTACAAAACAATCTAAACATATGAATATAATTACTTTCCTTGTGTAAAAGAAAAAGAAAATGAACATTTTGTTTTACTGGAGAACTTTACTTACTAAAACATATGTATCCTTGTCAGGATTAAACTTAGTTGTTATTTCTGGGCCCCAACTCCCAAACTGGCGAAGGGGAAGAACCTGAAAACCTGGCAAAGAGGCCTGGGCACTGTTCCCACCAAATAATTAAGCACACAAACAGAAACAGTAGCAGGTGAAAAAGATATCCCATAATTGACCTAAACAAATTATTGCCATCAACTTGCAAAAAACATTTCAATACTCTTGGAAGTAATATCATCTTTAGATTTATTTCTTGTTGGACATTTTTTTTCTTTAGAGAAAGCATTGGAAAATGTTGGCTGAGATCTCAGAACCTGTCTTAGTGAGATAAAACAAAGATACGACTGCATAATGTGTCATATGGAATTTACACTCAAAATTGAAGTATTTGACATGATATGGCACCCCCTTGCAAAGGCACCTGGATATCATAATTCAGAAATTACCAATTTATCAAGATCATCAGTTTCTACAAGTAACTAAATTTCCAGTATTTGGAAAAAAAGTGGAAGAGCTGCTAATTCATCAATGGTTTTTATGTAGTGTTCCTTTGATTCCCAATGGAGGCATGGGCCATTAGAATTTATAGTGAGAAGCTATCTCCCCTACCAAGGGTTTAATCTTTAGCTTTGGTGGTAATTTTGATCCACGTGGTAGTGGAATTAGTTTGTAGAAGAATATGGAATCTCACATAACTCCACCAGTGTTGAGCTTGTCATACATTGCTGGTTCCAAGTCCAGATACATTGCTGGTTCCAAGTCATACATTGTCATTTCATGCTCATGTTAGGGTGTTTCTTGAAAATGATGTGCTAGGACAAACACTTGGTTGTGGTGAGAAATGGGGAAGGGTTCCCACATCTTTTTGGATGAGGGTGAGTAAAGAAGTTAGTCTAAGAGACAATACTTCAATTAACTAATTGGAAGTTGGAATGATATAGTATGGAATCCTTTCCGATGCTGTTTGAAATAGCTTGCAACAAAGAAGCAAAAATAGCTGACCACTTGATGTTGCAGAACAATGATATAGTATGAAATCCTCAATTCCACAGGAATCTTATATTGAGAAATAACACCTCTATTGGACACATTTGTTTTTGATCAGCAAAGAAGAATTATTTTTATTTATCAGCGAAAAGCCGGAGCCAAATTACAATACAGCCAACATTCCAACAAAGCAAAAAAAAAAAAAAAACCTCCAATTGATCCCAAAACAGCTGCTGCCTATAGACCCCCTGCTTAGCTAAAGAATCAGCCATTCCATTTGCAGTCCTTCTAATCCAAGTGAATGAGGCATTGAGTTCCCTTTCCAGACTTTCTATCTCTCTCAGAGTGTGTCTACATATCCAGGGACCATTACACCTTCTAGTAGTCCAAGAGATAACCAGTTTTGAATCCCCTTCTACCTCCAAATTTTGAAAGTTTGCTTGCTTAGCGAGTTTTAGACCTTTGTAACAGCACTAGCAGCTCAGCCTTTATTGAATCTCCTACCCCTAGAGGACCCGAGTACATTGCCAATACTTTCCGTGAACAATCTCTAAAAACACCCCTATGCCTGCCAGTCCCGGTTTTCCTAAAGAGCTCCCATCGAAGTTCAGCTTTATTTTATTGCCACCTGGGAGCTTCCAGTCCATCACTTTTTTATTTTTCCCTTTAGTGGAGTGTGCAACTTCATTCCATGCTCTTGTAATGCCAGTCACTTGAAAGCTTTGAAAGAGCTCTAGTGTTTTTAGCCAGCTTGCAACCTTTATCTTTAATAGAATCCACAATTTCTTCTTTTGACCTTCGCCTTTCATTTAAGATCCTTGCATTTCTTTCCTCCCAAACAGTCCACACTAGGTGCTGCCCTAACTGCTTTCCACATTACCCTTCCTCTTTTTTTCGGTTGCCTTAGGAAGTTTGAGTTGAAGAGACTCACTATATCCTGGGGAGTAATCCACCTGCAACCAAAGAGAGAGCAAAGAGAGTCCCAGACAAAGAGCACAATAGGACAATGAAGCAGTAAATGTGGTAGGGATTCACCATTTGCCAAGCAAAGAATACACACATGAGGAGAGGGGCATTTATTTGGCTTCCTCTTTTGAAACATGTCACAAGTATTCACCTTTCCAAGGAAAACCTCCCAACACAAAGCTTGGACCTTGGGTGGAATGGGCTTTCCTCTAAATCTCTCTCACTAGGAAGTTGATCTTCCCATTGCACTTCGCAAAGGGAAGAGAAAGTGTACTACCCATTGCATCTCACACCATCTTTCCTATAAAACCTTATCATCCTCCTACTGAGCTTTCCTTTCTTCCCTAGATTCTATATTTATACCCAGGAATGCTACTAAGGCTCTCTCCAAACCTGAGTGGAAAACAACTATGCAAGAAGAGATGGAAGCTTTGGTTAAAAACCAGACTTGGGAGATAGTCGATCTTCCTCCAGACAAGGACATAGTCGGATGTAGATGGGTGTTCATTGTGAAGTACAAGCCTGATGGCAGTATTGAGAGGTATAAGGCAAGGTTGGTTGCAAAAGGGTATACACAGACCTATGGCACTGATTATCTGGAGACCTTTGCACCGGTTGCTAAGATGAGTTCAGTTCAAATTCTCGTCTCTAACAGCCACCTATTCATGGCCCCTATTTTAGCTTGATCTTAAAAATGCATTCCTCAATGGTGATTTGCAGGAGGTATATATGGACACCCCAACTGGGTGCCTGGGTTTTATGAAAATGTTGATAAAGGAAAGGTTTGTAAGCTAAAAAAATCATTGTATGGCCTAAAACAGTCACCTAGGGCATGGTTTGACAGGTTTGGAGGGGCACTTATCCTCTTTGGGTACACACAAACCTAGTCTGATCACACTCTCTTTGTGAAAAGGAGAGATGCACTTGTGTCAATTCTGATTGTATATGTGGAAGATGTAGTAGTTACAGGAAATGATCTAAAAGAGATTGATACTCTCAAGAAATCAATACAGTAAGAGTTTGAGATCAAAGATCTTGGTAAGCTAAAATATTTCCTGGGGATTGAGGTTGCAAGATCCAAGCATGGGATTTTCATCTCTTAGAGAAAGTATGTACTAGACTTACTGCAGGAGACTGGGAAGTTGGGAACCAAACCAGCTGACACTTGTATTGACCCAAATCATAGAATTAATGCTGTGGATGGTGAGTTAGTTAAGGATGTGGAGAGATATCACAGAATSGTGGACTGGCTATTATGTTTGTGTATGATGCGTCCAGATATTTCCTATGTTGTTAGTGTTGTGAGCCAGTACAAGTATGCACCTTGGGTTCAGCACTAGGAAGCCATTGAAAGAATACTTGCATACCTGAAGAAGCACCCCGGCAAAGGTATTCTTTTCTCAAACCATGAAAATCTGAAACTAGAGTCTCATATAGATGCAGATTGGGCAGGTTGTTTATATGACAGGAGATCTACATCAAGGGCATGTACCTTTGTGGGTGGAAACTTAAACTTGATCTCATGGAAGAGTAAAAAGCAAGCAGTTGTGGYTAGGTCAAGTGCAGAGGCTGAATATAGTTCCATGGCTCATGGTATCTAAAAACTACTTTGGATTAGATCCCTACTAAATGAGATTGGGGATAAAGCAGAGGAACCTATGGTGTTATATTGTGACAATCAAGTTGCAATCAATATTGCCCACAATCCAATTCAGCATGACAGGACAAAACACATTAAAGTTGATAGGCACTTCATAAGAGAAAGGGTAACAATCGGAGAAGTTTGCTTGCCTTATGTCTCTTCAAAATTGCAGTTGGCTGATGTACTCACTAAAGCAGTTGCAAGGAACAAGCTTGAACATGATTTATGTAAGTTAGGAATGTATGACACTTACTCCCAACTTGAGGGGGAGTGTTGAAATTTAATCAGTTTTGTGTAGATTTAACAATAATTTTTATATGTTAATTGTTAGATAGGAAGTGGGGATCACAGCATTTATGTTAAGTCCTTTGTTGATTGTTTCTTAAGTCTTTTATGTTGTTTTAGATGCTTGCCACCCTATAAGGGCATATTAGTCATTGTACTCCACTATATTTTTAATATAAATACTAGTGAAGGGGCGGCCAGAATTAAGCTCTCTTTTTCTTTCTCAAATCTCTCTCTTCTTCTTCTTCTCTCTCTTCTCTTCTTCAAGAAAATATATTTTCTTTTACAGATTTTTTTAATTCAGCAGATTTCTACTATTTTATTTGAAGAAAACTCCAGGGTGGAAGCTTATATTAATCCAGATTGGGATGCTTGTGTTGATGATAGGAAATCAATAGGCCACTGTACATTTGTTGCTGGAAATCTAGTGTCCTGGAGGAGCAAGATCCAATTAGTAGTAGTGAGACCTAGTGTAGAGGTAGAGTATCAGGTCATAGCACATGGTGTTGCAAAGCTACTCTAGATGAAGATCCTCCTAGAAAAAAAAAAAAAAAAAAAATTGGAGTTTATTTCTGATGGTCCTTTAAGACTATACCATGATAATCAGAATACTATTAACAATACTCATAATCTAGCACATCATGATAGGATGAATGAAAAACATTGAAGTGGATCAATACTTTATTTGTGATTTTCTTGTGAAGTCTCTTTAATTTGTCTGAAGCTATGTCAACAATTGGCTGATAATTTTACCAAAGGAATTACAAAATTCATTTTTAGCAGAAAAATGAAATTACAGTTCTTACACTTCTTCAGGTTCACGAACATCTATCAATTGAGCCTCTTCAAAGAAACTTTGGTCTTGCATTTTTGCATGAAGCTCCTCTGGGTCAATGTCTTGAAGTATAAGTTCTTCCCTAGAAGCATTAGTTTCCCCAAACAAGTACAAAATAAAATGAAAATTAGAAAATGTATTTTTTGAATATCAAGTAGAATTTTCCATTAAAGGTTTCTCAGACATACCTTTCAGACAATACTTGCAACAAGTGCCACCCAAATTTAGTCCTGCATCGCACAACTTTGTTTAAAGGTGCACTGAATGCAGCCTCCTCAACCTCTGGTACCTGGTGACACCAAGAAATCCATCATACTAGCTTGGCTCTAATGTATGTTGAAAATGAGAACCTATGGAGACAAAGATACTGGATATACTGAACCAAAAAAGAGAATCCATGGACAATTCTATAGATATAATTTGTTAATAATATAAACATCGGGGAGGGGGAGAGGACCCTTGTGCAAACAAAGGGAACATTTCTCTTTCTATTTTGCCAGTTAGCAAGGCTCTTGTGAGGTGGCAAGCCTTGCCATTCAAAGGGTCCCCTTGGAGGTTTGTATCAAAACCCCCAGGTCAGATAATTGGAGATATTCGGTTCGCTGCCCAGATGTGACAAACGGTCAGCAGAAGAAACTTAATTAGGTATCAATGGTTTGCCTTTTTTTATGATTCAATGGAAAATTTTATTAATGGAGAAACAACATCTCGCATTCCCAACTAGGTATCAATGGTTATGGTCATAAATTTTATTTAATCTCACATAATTTTTTATCAGCAACAGATAACAGAATTTTATTAGATAAAAGAAAAAGCAGTACAACAAGAGGTTGCAGCTTTGCATTACAAATATAGATTGTGAGCATACCCCTGCTATCCCACCCCAACTCAGATCTTACAACTGAGCCCAAAACAGCTGATGTCTTAAAGTAGTGGGGCTAGCAACAAACTACCACAAGACAGAAAGAGAGATGAAGAGAGAACGTGAGAGAGAGAGAGGGGGGGAGGGGGAGAAAGGGTAGAGGAAGAGAAAAGAGAGAGAAATCCCAAGGAATCACTCCAAGGGTCCTAGAATCACTCCATACAGAAAACTTGCAAGAGAACTCTAAAGAAATCTTCATTCATTAGCTTCAAAAGGAAGAGAATATATCAATTTATGGAGAGGCCCGGAATACTGTTCACCACAATTACAAAAATGCCACCCCTTGTCTTGTGCATCAAGAAACGTAATAACTTTCTACCTACTAATGCAAATAAACTGAAAATTGAAAGAGAAACACTACTAAGCTAGAGGAACAAGATGCTATAGCCCAAACCCACATGGGACTGGTCAAAATGATGAAAATACCCATACTGTCCAAATATACAGAAATACAAAAAATCAGAAAATTCCAAATTTGATTATTCAGCTCCCACATTATTCTCTTCTGGTTCAAAAAAACTCATCCTCGAGTTTTGAAGAACATGAGGATGAAAAGTTGATGTACATCAATGACTAAAGGAGTAGTAATTCCCATGGCTACTTCAACACACTTCGACTGTAGAGTGTAGAGTAGATGTCACACATATAGCTATAGATGGATCTTGAAAGCAGTGTATGTCTGTAACACTGACTCCATAACCTTCATTGTTAAATAATCAATAACATTAGCTTCTTGACCACTTACATCACCAATCAGCCTAACTTGTGATGAATCTTCCCCTTGCTTATCACTATGAATTTTCATATCCAAAATCTCAATTGCAGCATTTGGAACTTTTCCTTCAATCTCTAGTTGAGAAATCTCCATCCCTATGTCTTTAGCTACCCTTGGTTCTTCAGCAAACTCTTGAACTTCTACCATTATTGACGTTGGTGGAACTTGTACTATGTCAACTTGTAATTTCTTGAATTGGTTCCAGTTGAACTTGTAACGTAAAGTCGTGACTTACTTCCTTAATAACATCTACTACAATCAACACATTTGCATCTTGCACCTGAATTTCTTCAACTTGCTCCACTCTTATGATCTTATCTCTTCTTGATCATTAACCACAAGCTGACCATGGGTGTTGGAAGTTCCTTCTTCAACAATTCCAATCTTTTCTTGGCCCGCACCCTTTTTATCTTCAATGTTTACAACTTTGAAATTCTTCATTCACAACTTTAGCTCTAGGATGGGCATTGACATGCAAGAAATCATCTTCTTTATCTTCAAATTTGTACTTTCTTCTCATTAGCTTCAAATTCATTGTTGTAACCAGCTGCTTCTTCTCTATGTTGAGAGCCAATTCAAAAGCATGATTTAGGTCACAAATAGGCCAATTTATAAGGATTTAGACTATTACAACAATCAATTACTGGGCAAAGTAAAGCGTGCCAAGGATTGCAGAATAACTACCATGGTTCTTGAGAATAATAATAATAATAATAATAATAATAATAATAATAATAATAAAGAAGAAGAAGAAGGAGAGAAAACTGTTCTAGTCGAACTAGAGAGAAAAGCCACTTCTCTAGTCGGCCAAACTTTATTTATACCTTTCTAAACAAATCAGAATTACTCTTATGCCCTCACTTAAGTGAGAGACACATCAGCTAACTTAAGATCTACTTATAATTACATTTAACATATAACTTAATGTAAAAAGCCTATACTACCCTTCTACAACCGACTCTAACACTCCCCCTCAAGCTGGTGAGTATATGTCATTTAGTCCCAGCTTGTTACATATGTAGTCCACTCTTCCCCAACTCAACCATTTGGTAAACAGATCTACCCATTGATTTCCTGTGTTCGCATATGTTGTACTTAAAGCACCTTCTCACGTACAAAGTGGCAATCAACTTCTATATGCTTCGTTCTTTCATGAAACACTAGATTATAGGAGATATTAATTGCAACTTGATTATCACAATATAGGTTCATAGGCGTGTCAATCAAGTACCCCATTTCCTCTAAGAGATGCTTCAACCACACTAGTTCACATGTTGTGTGTGACATGGCTCTATACTCAGCCTCTGCACTACTTGCTACCACTGTCTGCTTCTTACTCTTCCATGTCACTAAGTTGCCACCAAGAAAAGTGCAATACCCTGTAGTGGATCTTCTGTCAGATATGGAACCGGCCCAATCAGCATCCGTGTACCCCTCTATCTCAAGACTTCCTCCACTCTTATATAACAAACCAAGACCTAGAGCTCCCTTCAAGTACTGCACAATCCTTAGAACCGCCTCCCAATGTGGAATTCGAGGATTCTGCATTAACTGAGTCACTACACTAACTACAAATGAGATATCGAGTTGAGTGATGGTTAGGTAATTCAGCTTACCTACCAACCTTCTGTACCTTCCAGGATCTTCAAACTCCTCACCTGCATCACTACTCAACTTAACATTCGGTTCCATGGGTGTTTCAGCTAGTCTGGCACCTAATAACCCTGTTTCCWCTAACAGATCAAAGACATATTTCCTCTGGCACAGATTAATACCATTCTTGGACCTCACTACTTCTATCCCTAGGAAGTATCTTAATTTGCCAAAATCCTTCGTTTGAAAGTGATCATGCACGCAAGTATTCAACTTGTCAATCCCTGGTCTATCACTGCCAGCGATAACAATATCATCTACATATACTACCAATAGGATCTTTCCAGCACTAGACTCATTGCAGAATACGGAATGGTCAACCTGACACTGTTTCATGCTAAACTTCTTCACTACTTCACTGAATCTACCAAACCATTCACAGAGGGATTGTTTAAGCCCATAAATAGCCTTCTTAAGTCTACATACCTTATCACCCTCCACCTGAGCAACAAACCTTGGCGGTTGCTCCATGTACACTTCCTCAAGGAGATCACCATGTAAAAAGGCATTCTTGATGTCAAGCTGAAACAAGGGCCAATCATGCATAGCAGCAAGGGAGATCAGAAGACGAACAGAACCAATTTTGGCAATAGGGGAGAAGGTGTCTGTGTAATCAATACCATATAGTTGTGAATAACCTTTGGCAACTAATCGAACTTTCAACCGTTCAACACTCCCATTAGGCAAATATTTAACAGTGTATATCCACTTACAGCCTATAACATGCTTACTAGGTGGAAGAGTGGTGAGGTTCCACGTATGAGTACGAATCAAGGCCGAGAGTTCTTCCTCCATTGCTTGGCGCCACCCTGGAGAAGTGAGAGCTTCCTAGACATACTTTGGAACAGAGACAAAGGATAACATAGAAACAAACTGGTGATGGGAAGTCGAAAGGTGAGATACAGAAACATAATTGGAAATGGAGTGAAGAATGCAACTGCGTTTACCTTTCCACAAAGCAATAGGAAGATCAAGGTCAAAAACAGGGGGTGGGGCTGGGGTGGGAACAACTGTCGGATCTGTCAACGGTGACGAAGCTAGAGGAGGAGCCAGTACTTAACGATGCATATACACTTGCTGGATGGGTGGTTGTCTAGCAAGTAGTTGTACTGGAGGCAAAGACTTGGTAACAACTGGAACACGAGGAATAGGGTCCTCAACAGGAACTGGAAGAGGAGGTGATAGTGACGGAAGAGAAGAAACATCAGACCTAGAGAAAAAATGAACAAACTCAAAGAATGTAACATCAGGACACACAAAAGAATGTTAGGAACTGGGGTTATAACACTTATACTCTTTTTGGGTCCTAGAATAGCCAAGGAAGATACACTTAGTGGATCGAGCCTCTAACTTGTCCATTCCAGGCCCAAAATTATGAACAAAACACACACCCAAAAGTGATCGAGCAATTAAGAGACTTAGTCAATTTACTAACAAACATCTGGTTAAAGGGAAACTTGGGAACATATAAAACTGAAGATAGGGACAACGAGTCTATGTCAACATTACCAACACCACATATGGAAGATATAGAACCATTGAAAAGAATAACAGATTGTGATGTGGAAGATGGATAAAGGGATGAAAACACACTTGGAGTCCCAGTCATATGATCGGAAGTTCCAGAATCTATAATCCAATGGGAAGGCTTGGATGCTAGACAAGCCATACCTGAGTGTGCAAGGGTAGTTGTGTTCTGCTGAAACATACCTTGAATGAACCACTCATACTCATCCCGTGGAACACTCATAATCCCTTTCTAGAGGCATCTATAGATGTAAAGAGTTTCTAATCAGTTTGCTGAGATTCCTATCTCGAACCACCACTAGTTACGACTGCATGATTTGCCCAGGTTGAAGGTGGGCCATGTAGATCATAGAAAAAGTTGATAGTATGTCCCTCCATACCACAATGTGTATACCTCCTCTGACCATTACTA